TTTGGCAGGCCACTTTGGTAGGGATAAGACATTTGCACTTGTTGAGGATAGGTTTTATTGGCCCACTTTGAGACATGACATTATTAGGATAGTGGCACAGTGTCGCACTTATCAATTAGCAAAGGCTAGGAAACAAAACACAGGGTTGTACACACCATTACCAGTTCCACACACAGCATGGAGAGACCTTAGTATGGACTTTGTCTTAGGATTGCCTAAAACAACCCGTAATCATGATTCCATTCTAGTTGTCATGGATAGGTTTTCTAAGATGGCCCATTTCATTTCTTGTACTAAGTCTACTGATGCCTCATATGTAGCAAAGTTATTTTTTAGAGAGCTCGTCCGACTACATGGGTTGCCTATTTCTATTGTGTCTGATAGGGATGTCAAGTTTACGAGTTATTTTTGGAATACACTTTGGAAACTCTTTGGAAGTAGTCTTAAGTTTTCCTCTGCCTTTCATCCTCAAACTGAGGTAGTCAATCGTAGCTTAGGAGATTTGCTTAGGTGTCTAATGGGTGAGAAGATGGGAAATTGGGATTTGTTGTTGCCTACTGCTGAATTTGCCTATAATAATTCCGTTAACAGGTCGACTAGTCTATTCCCTTTTGAGATTGTTTATGGCCATTTTCCTAGATAGCCCATTGATTTATTACCTTTACTTCCTGATTCCTACCCCTCACACTCAGTCGAAGCTTTTGTCCAGCATATTCATGACTTGCATGCCTACATAAGACAGAAAGTTACATTAAGTAATGAGAATTATAAATTGGCTACAGATGTTCATCATAGGAATAAAGAATTTATTGTGGGACTATGTCATGATTTGTGTGCGTCCTGAACGTTACCCTAAAAATTCTTTCAAAAAGTTACATACTCGAGCCACTGGCCCTTTTCGTATTCTTCGTAAACTTGGACCTAATGCATATTACCTTGACTTACCTTCGAATATGAGTATTAGTCCTATTTTTAATGTGGAGGACTTGTTTCCTTATCATGGTACTTTGAGCCTCCTATGTTTCCAGCAGGTGTTCCTACCGGTGGACTTGCTTCGTCATTAGCATCAACTACAATTCGTATTCTTCCACTGTTTTCACCACAGTTGTATGACCAGATCGCAGATGTACTTGATGATCAGATTGTGGGCTCCTCGGATGGAGGATATCGTCGTTATCTTATTTGGTGGAGAGATCGTCCAGAGACTGATGATTCATGGATTACTGAGGAGGAGTTTCGTCGGCTTGACCTGATCTTCTAGAGCATTATCATGATCGTATCTCTCCGGAGGCGAGTTCTTTTCAGCCGGGGGGAAATGATAGGAATCGGATTATATTTCGTTATAGTAGGCGTATGCGTAAGGATTATGAGTTATTTGTCATTATGCTTTTCAGGGGTTTAGTTGTCATTTTGACTATTTATTTCTTTTAGAGTTCTTTTAAGATTTGTGGTCTCCCTATATATATATATATAGGCGATATTTTATTTGTTTTGGTAGACTTTGATTATTGATTATTGATATTGAAGCTTCTTTTTAAATATTCTCTATTCTCATCTCCTTCTTCTTCTTTCCATCTCATCCCTAATACGATCTACATCACTTACCCATTTGAATTTCGCAATAAATTTGTTTGATTGTTCGTTTGTTAGTCCCACGTGTGAGCCTGGTTTTCACCTGAGGGAGAGTATAAAGAGAGATTGTATCCCATATTGAATGATTAGGATCATCCAAGGTGAGTTTGTATAGTGAGAGGGCCTCTCCTCTTGTGACCAATTGGATTTGAGTTGGATGATTTATGATTAAAAGCATACGAGATCATTTGTGCTTTTACCTTTCTCTCTTTCATTTTGTTGCATCTTGAATTGAATAGAGTATGAGGATCTACACTCCGTGGATGTGAGATTCTTGTTGCATAGTTAGCTTCTTAGACCACTTTGGAATTTGTTAAGCTCCTTTTAAAAGATCTGCCAAAAACTGTGATACTTAACATAATATGTGATTAAAAGCATAAGGGATTGTTTGTGCTTTTACCTTTTTCCTGTCATTTTTTAGTAACATCTTTACTTGGACTCTGAGCTGTTAAGCCAATAATAAGAGATTTGCTGGTGTATTTTGATATTCAAAATGAAAATTGCAGGCTAATTGTTAGTTTTCATAGGCTACAGGCTGAACAAGAAAGACTAGAAAGAATAGGTCCAATAGCATACTACTCGGAATGGGTAAAAGCATGGAAGAGAGACACTTCACGTGAAGCTGTTCAAAAACATTTTGAAGAGACTGGGGAAGATGAGAACACCCAACTCATTGAAATGTTCACACATCAAACTGATCGGGAGTACCGCATAATGATGGGGACTGATATTCGTATCCGCAGGGATCCATTGGCAATGCGAATGCGGGAGGATCAAATAAAGCAAAGTATTTACTTCAAAGTCGATAAGTTTGCAGATTACAGACATCTTTCTTTTGGTTTTCCTTCATACTGAAAATCATTCTAATTTAGTCATGAAGCATTTTAAATTAAGTTAATGTTCTATTGCTTCTCTTTTCTTTTGTTGATTTCTACTCTGGCTATTCTATGTAACTTGTTAATAATGACAATCTTTGTGCACCAGATAAATCAGCTGGGGTGGTATGAGTTATTCACTCTATTGATATCATTACCTGCTGCCCTCCTCCCTCTTCCTTCTGTCTTTATTTTTCTATTTGTATGTATATATGTCATTTCTTCTCTTTTAATAGTTTTTTGGGATCAGTAAGCATAGCTTCATCTTGAGAGATTTAGTGGGTTTTTTCTTGTGCCTTCATACCACATTACACTGTCCTCTACCCTTGCTGTGCGAGTTACACGTTTCCACTTTATCCTCTCCTTATTTTCATTATGGTAGACTATTAGTTAATAAAACTAATATTTCATTTTGTTGTACTTGTGATACTTCCAGTTCTATTTATTAGTAGATGCAAAAAGATGTTGAATTTGCGTCATGTTTCCCCGTTTGCTTGACCTTTTTTACTGTGGTTGGCACTTCAATAACCTGTTGGCCTCTTGCAGTATGGGGTGGAGATCCAGTTTACCCAACTATTAACTACATTCAAGATCCAAATGAGGTGATTGATTTCCGGGGTCCAGATTTTCACGAACCCACACCAAATATGCTGGCTTATCTTAAAGAGGTTAATGCTAAAAACTCTAAATGTTCAATTCTCAAGTCATTTATCCATCATCTAATGTTTTTTTAGAATTTTTTATTAAGTTTATTTTAGGCAATAAGTTGCTTTATGCTTTAATGTTCTGAGGCCCTTCATGTTTGGTGTGTATATGATCCGTATGTACCATTGAGTAGTTGTACCTATACATCAAGAGCCCTTATGTCTCGATTCCATGATTTTAAGGACTTGAAACAACACCTTTCTCCGAAGAACATAATCTATTTATTTGGGGCCACAACATTTGTCAAGATTCCAATGAAACATTATGGTGCGCAAGTTGACATTTAAGAACTGTATTTCCAAAGTATATAAAAACTGACTTGACAGGCACGCCAAGCACTAATAATAGATTTTGTTTTAGATTTAGTGCGTTTGAGAGCATGACTTTTATCTGATCCAAATTAATTAATGTGAACTGTGAAGTTTAGATTGTCAATCAGTTTCATCATTTGATAGGCCCAAAATATTCAACTACAAGTATTTCTGAAATCAGACCTCTTCTGCTTTATTACCTAATGTTATAACTGAATGACAGATTCACATGGTTGCCAAATGGTGGCTGTTGTTGAATGCGTTCAGCTTCTGCAGCTTTGCTGTTATGCTCTTCAACTTTGCCTTCACTGGATACTTCTGATTAGATAGCGTGAAAGATAACTTCATTAGGAGTGACCTTGGGAATGCCAGGACAAAAAAGCTTCATTATTCTGTATTTCATCATGTTTGCTGTAGTGCCGCTCATAAAGTGCACTGTGTTTGGTGTATTGTCCTTATGCTTGTCAGAATGGTCTCTGTACTCTTCTCCACGTCCACCACCTCTCTCTCTCTCTCTCTCTCTCTCCCTCCCCCCCCCTCCACACCCCCATATATAAACACGACTTATTTTAATCCTGACTCCTAACATGAATTACTAAACAAATATGATTGTTAGCTGCAGTATTTGTATTCAAGTAAAGTCTCAATAAGTTAACATACTGAATTATTCCCTCATATTGGGTGTATAACAATTCTGTTCAGCATGGCAAATTAATATCAAGAGATGAGCTTGAGAAAATCCTGGCCAAAGAGAAGACGGAAGAACTTGAGGTGACGACTTACACCTATGCACTCTGCATCATATTTAGTTTTTGGTATGATTGATATTCTTATATCATTTACTATATATATATATATTTATTTATCTTTCCCTACAAACTTTCTCCTATCATGGGAGATTTATGCTTACAGATCCCTTTATTCTTCCTGTTTTCGTCTTATTGTAATGGAAAAAGCTCAAGCAGCCATTGAATATGTCTTGATTGTCCAGCAGTGGCAAGGTGCTGTGTTCATGTCCCACTTAGATGGTCCCATTGCCCATTAGTTTAATCACTATACAAATTCCAAATTTGTGTCATGAGCTTCGCTGTGTATCTTATGACAAACTTTGGAGTGGACTCTGAGGTATACTGTGAGTTAGAGTCCCAAGAAGTCTATAAATCAGCTCATCTTAATAGGTGATGCAAGACGAGAACAAGAATATCAATTAGCTGGAGAATGCTCCAAAAAAGAGAGAGAAACTCAGGACGAAGTGAAAAAATCACCTTACTTAGTACTAAGAAAAAAAAGGATTGAAACACCTCCCATGCAATTCGTAATCCCATTCTATATCAAGGCTTCTTTAGATCATACATATTTGCCCTTTTTATTCCAAACCCCAAAAACCTAGTTAACACACACCAAAAATAGAACATAACAATATATAAAATCCAAATTTATGAAATGAACCCATAGATCCTAAATTTCACAATAATACAAAAATAAATTATAAACTGTAATCCTAAATTTCACAATACTAGAATAAATTCTAAACTGTAATCTTCAGTTTCTAGCTTTATCTAACTTATTTTTGATCCCCATCAATAGGCTGTTCTTCAGTTAAGGATCAAATTTCGTTTCGGTAAATAGTTTTAATCGGTTCAGAAAAGGACATGTTTCAAAAAAAAAAAAAAATGAACATACAAGAAATTCAAAAACTCTGTTTTTGAAGCATTCCAAAACATGTGCCAAAATATAGCAAAACACCTTAGAACTTTCTGAAACACTTTGAAACATTCAATTGCCATTTTTATTTGATTTCCATGGAAATTCAAACATTTTGGTCATTTCAATTAATTAAATTTAGATTCTTGTTTTCAGTTGATATGCTGGACAAGGAAAGAGCTTCCAAATGAGTTAAAAAACTTCTTATGTAGCCTAAGCTTACGATCTGTCCAGTTGATGGATACCTTGGATTTTGTCAATCGTGCTAATCATTCCTCGTGTTTGAACATAATTCTATGGAAGTGAAATATTTTGCTTCACAAATGAATCAAGTTTTTTAAAATTGGGATCCTACCTTGGATTGATTAGGGAGGCTAAAGGATTGAGGTCGGAGGATCAGATTGAGAATCATAAGATCCTATTAATTGAAAAAATGAGACGAGAAATATATGCAAGGATAAGAATGGTTAAAGATAAGAATTAAACAAACCTAGTATATATGCAAATAGAAATATTATGGCAAATATGAAACTTAGAGATATGATTTTAATTAAAGAGGGTTAAAACTTAAAGGTGTATTGTTTATCTTGTAAAAGGGAATAGTAAGATTGAAGTATTGTGATCTTAACTTTCAGAGAGAGATGGATAGAGGAGAGAGGAAAGTTGAGAGGCATTTGAATGAACAACTTTGACTGTTTGATACTTACTCAAAAATAAAATTTGAGTGGTTGACATTCAAACAGGAAAAAAAAATGGAAGAAAATGAAAAAGAAGACTATATGACTATGATCCCTCGCTGAAAGAGTAGATCAAGTGTAGCCGTTGTTTTTAACTTTACAATGAGAGAGACCACGGATGAATGGAGCTTTCTATAACGAAGAGAACTTTCTGTAGCTTTTCTCATTGTCAAACTTCCCAATAGACTGAAAATTATATAAGATGGTCACATTTGGATTCAATCTTTTATATTGAAACATCAACTATGAATTGGGTTAGCTCAATAACTAAATGTGCCTAGAAAAAAAACCTACAACTTGGATTGGTGAACTTGCACTTTGGATCGGGTTCTTATGATCTATAAGATTATGATCACGATTCATTAGGATTCTATGCATTAGGGAGTTCGTTAGAGACTCTTATCGACTGGTTTTGTACCGAATCGTAAGATCCTACAATCTAGATCTGGATTTTAATAATCATGAAATGAGTTTTACTGATGTCTTAAGTTATAACCTCCCTAAAAACTTATATTTTTAGAGTAATTGATGATTAACATGATATTAGAGCAGCATAACCTCTTTTTGAATATCAAGTACAGTTTGTAATTTTTTTATATTTCAGATGACTTATCCATTGAAATACTTGAATAATGAAGTTTACATGATCTTTTGGGCAACTAAGATTTATTGATTTGTTTAGGTATTTCGTACTATCTATTTAATTGTAATTTACAATAGGTTTGTTTATGTGATTATTTTTTATTTTTAAATATATCTATGTCATCTCAATTTTATCTTATCGCATCTTAAAATATAAAGTATATTTATTCACGTATCTTACTGTATTTGTATCCTACTCTTTTAGATTTTGTTGTATTGCCTTGTACATATGGTGTTGTACTTCCATATATGTATTCATGCTTCCTAGGCCATCACCTGGATCTTGCATGTGTTCGGCCCAAAATCTAACGGGTACATGAAGCGTGGTGTTGAATTAATAAATACTTATGTAATTGGTGATTAACAATTTCTTGTGACCTCAAACTCTGGCGATTTCCCGAGGGGAACCCTCTAATTTTTTATGGCCTTTCTCTTTACTTTTAATTTTTCCTTTTGTTCCATCATCTCCCAAGTTGCGTCTCTTCTACAACAGGTAACAGATATGGATGAAGCTATGGCACGAGCTGTTGATATTGGCGAAAATGATGTGAGTTTTATCATCTCATTAGTTTGTCTGGATATTATTTTCCCCTTCAAATTATTATGTTTATGCTTCGTGAATATGGTTGTGTGGGATAGTGTTTTACGCGGATTAGGTTGGTTGCATAGGACACTATCTTTTTATGCTTACTTTGCAATAGGATGAAGGAGAGGACAGTGAGGTTGATGGTGATGATGAAGATGAGAAAATCACCCGGAACTGGAGTGTTCTAAAAAGTACTCCTGAGCTTCGGAAGTCAAAGGTAAATGGTTTCTGATGAATCCTATATTGCTACATGCTTTTATTGTATATATGTTTTTGTATGGATGATTGTGAATTATCCTATTTTTCACATACACTTGGGAAAAGATCAAATAAGAGAGTGTATAATAGCAATGACAACATTAGGAAACATCCCTGATGTACACCTCTATGAAATTAGTTTTTATGTTAATCATTCAACGTCTCTGAACTCTGATAGGAGGGCTAAATGAAACATTTGAATGCTCTGAATTTTGCTAGTCTTGTTGAGAATATTATCCAAGCATTAATGTGTTAAAAAAAAACTCCCTTGTTTCCTACTAGTGAGCTGCAGAATATTGCCTCTCTAATCTATCATTCATACTCTTCTACTTGCAGGGACAACCTAAGAAGGATGACATGTCTCTAGGAGAAGCAGTAGATGACTCCGAGAATTTAACTGATTTTCTTTTGGACTTTGAGGAAAATGAGTGATGTATCTCGCCTTGTGAACTTTTTGAGGTACGTTTGGAGTTAATAAAGAGAAAAAGAAAGCCAAGAAAATGATCCAGAATATATGGAAGGAATCACAAGCTGAGACATTCAGCAAACACACAAGTTCACAATGTAAACTCATCTGGTATACAAAAGGAGGCTTTAATTAATCCTGTAATAGATCTCCTGCTTATCAAATTTTGATGCAAGAACATGAGACAATATTACTAATGCGTTCCAAAAGAAGCTTGAGAAGGAGCAAATTTGAAAAGGGGAAATTTTTAAAAATTGGCTTGGTTAATGGTCAAACCCTTCCCCTTCCCCTTCCCTTTCCCCTTTTTTTTTTTAAAAAAAAATAAAATAAAAAAAGGTCAAACCCACTTGGGACCTACTAGGATTAAGTTGTTCGTTTGAGTCTAGTCCCGTCTTATGGTGCTCTTTGGACAAATTTTTTGTTAATTTAGCGTATTTGGTAAATTTAGAGGTTAGGATAAAAGGCTAAACCACGGGTTTTCTGTATAGTTCTGAAATCAAGTTTCATATTGTGAATATTATTGTTGCATTTTTCTTGGATCGAGGATCACATCGAATTGGAAATTGTAAGATTGTGTAAGGAATTCAAAAGTCGATAGTATAACAATAAAAATATAACTAAATTCAAAATGGAGGATATTACAGTATATTTCACAATAATTATAAATATGGGCATAAGTGTTGATTACCAATCCTATTTTTTATGGCTATATCTATGTACCTGTGTTCGGGCTTATTTATTTGTCAGGTGTTTATTATTTTCTGAAATGATTCGAGGTCTTTTAGGTGAATTCGTTTGCCTCAAATAAGTGTCTCTCTCTTTCACAATGACCCTCTCTCCTCTTCTCCTCCTCTTCTGTGCATTGCTCAAAGCTAAGAAATTGAACAACAATTTGTTGAGATTAAACTAGGGTCAAATACAGAGTGAATGAATTATTCATTGTCACCCAGGAAAAATAAAGTTTCAGGCAGGTTCTTTATATGGTGGAATTAAATGGTTCAACACACTTGTAGAGTTGTTGATAGTTTTATGAAGGATTCAACTTTGCCTTCGATTTTAAAATGGTCTCTAAACTTTCAATTGTCTCAATTTAGTCCATAAATTTTGTGTCAATAAAATCCTTTCCATCATTTCATTCGTTGGAACTAATGGTCCATTACTCTCGGTAGAAGTAATGACTTGGATGTACTGATGACAAACACATAAGTTTGTCTCAGTAAGTTCTAACGAGTGAAATAGAGTAAAGGATTTTATTGACATGAAATTGATAGTTCAGGGACTAAATTGAGACAATTGAAAGTGCAGAGATCATTTTAAAACCTAAGACAAAGTTTAAGGACTGATTATCATATTTACTCTTTTATGAAACATTGCATACAATAGGGCTCCAATTGTTTTGTTTGACACTGTTCAGAAATTTTGCCCATTTTATTTAGGGTAATTTACAATTTATACCCTTAAAGTATGCACATAATTTCTATTTGGTCGATGAAGTTTCAATAAATACAATTACATTCTTCAAGTTTTTATTGAGTTTCAATGAAGTCTTGCCATTCAGGTCTATTAATTTGTTTCGACAAAAAGATGTTAGAGAACTTGCCCATAAAGGTATATTTGTCTAGTAAAAAATATATCTCTCAAATACATCAATATTTCTCTCTTTGACTCACAATATTTCTCAAATTCTCACTCTGCATTTTTTTTGGGTTTGTTATTCTTTTTTTCCCCTCAAAATCAGATAAATAAAGTAAAGTTTTCTAGCGTACATGTAACAAAATTTTCACCGTACAAATATATCATTTTATTCAAATCATGTGTTGTTCATGGAAGACAATTCTCTCATTATAAATTGGTGAATCTTGATGTAAGGACTAAATTGAAACTCAATTAAAACTCTACGGACTTCATTGCAATTGGAACTTCAAGAACCAAATAGGAATTAGGTGCATACTTTAAGGCTGTAAATTGTAGTTTACTTTTTTTTTTAAATTCAATATGAGGAGCATGTTGCTTGATATTCGTGTTTTTCTGCAGTCATTCACACATGTATCTGTTTCTAATGTATGACTGGTATATGAAGTGCATGCACCATTTCCCTTTTTTCTGTTGTAAGAATTAAGATGTGCAGTAACAAATATATAACTTTTGTGGTGGCATGAGGATAACAATATAGAGTCAAGGTGATCTCCTGTTACGGTCTTTTTTTTTTTAAGATCGGATATAAGACCAAAAGATTGCATATGTTCAAAATGTTGTATTGTATTTATCGGGAGATTTCTTTTCTCTATAGACTTTCTAGCCCTCATTTTGGCAACAAAGTGAGACAAACATACAATGGGAGTGACTGAGGCCTGCCTATATAAGAAAGAAACTCATACCTTAGTTTTTTAGTCGCACAAATCTGTTCATGCCACTTATTTGTTTCCCATAAATTATTGTATGGTTGCAGAATAGGAATATGGGTCCATTCCGATGGCTGAAGGTGTACAGCTGCAAATTGGTTCTTGCTTCTATGGGAAAGGTACTCTGTTTATATGTGGGATTCTTGAGAACTATAACTGTTTTTTCAATTGGTTTGACGAGATAATTGCGAGTTTAGTCGTGCTTTGCCTCTGCTGCATGTGCCAATTGCACCTGGAAAGAATTGTTACTGGGAGGGAGGCTCATGATTTGTTGGAACTTCAAGAGAATTTTATTTTCTTCACTCTCCCCTCAGAATGTTTCTGGGAAAGTTTAACCCCTGTTGTAGTAACTGAACAGTGAACAGTGAACAGCGAACAGCTACTCTTAAGAATACAATTGCTAGAGGTTTTCATTGCTTGATGGAAGTTGGTTTTCTTGTGGTAGAAACAGTTTATATTATTGTGGTAATAATTTAAAAATGAATGTATGTACAGTGCAACTGTACATACTTAAATTGCCACTTTGAGCCTGTACTTCGATAAACTACTTGGCTGAGTTTTTTTTTTTTTTGGGGGGGGGGGGTGGAATTGAATATCTTGCTACTTCATGGGTTTCTTTTGGTTGGAAAGAAAGAACGAGTCATTTCTAGTGTGTTGAATCTGCTGCTTGTGGACAAACAAGGGTAATGAAGAAATATTTATTCTATAAAATAATCAATGATCAAAGTTTCATTTCGGTGACCGAAAGCGGAAGCAATTCGAATATGTTTTGAAACCATTTTGAAATAGAATTAAAATAGAAAGAAAATTTAAAATTTTGTTGTCGAAATCCCTTGGAAATTCTTTGATATTCAATTATTGGTTTGTTTTGGTTTTCATAGAAACAAAAATATTTGGGCTGTTTCAAAATGAAATTTTAGTCCTTGTGAAAGGCTTCCCAGACTTGGTCTACTTGTATTTCCGACTACAAGCTGATATATTCATGACTGCCATTTGCTTCTTTGGTGCTTTTCTGGCCCAAAGGAAACAAGTAATAAACAAGAGAATAACAACACTCCTCTCATCTCAAATGTTTGGTTTCTTGAAAAACCCTAGAGGACTGGAGTTCGATTCTGCTCATAAGGTCGTCCATAGGAATTTATCTTGGTAATTGTCCATTATATTACATGTCGAATTGTGTATAAGAGGATTACTTGCAGTGCTCGTAAAGACCCAAATCTATCTCAAGTAGTCAAGTTTTTCAACCAGCAGCCTCTCCTATAATATTTTTGTTAGCGATTCCTTTCTTAGGAATAGGTGGTTGTTACTAGTTGATAGTTTTGCTTTCATCTTCATTATTTTATCTTTTTTTAATTGATATTGTAAAATAGGTCTAGTTACGCGTCGTGATTGCAATGCAAACTCCATAAGTATGCAATTACCAATAAAACATGAGCATTGAACAAACTGTGGCAAAAAGTCAAACTTAGATGGATAGTAATACATAAATGCACAAGTATACTTGCAACCCCAACTTAAATTGTAACAAAGATGAATTATAAATTTAGACATCCTGAATTTAAATTTTAACAAATTTTTGGGATCAGTTCACAAGGAATTTATTCTTCATGAATTACTTTGTCCTAGCGTGGATGGTCTGCTTTTGACTGGACAGAAAAAACGATTAGTTGAGATGTGCGTAATCTGGTCCAAACATCTTGATTGTTGAAAAAAAAACAGGTATATTTGTGCATATATGTATTAAGGTCTATTGAATTGTTTAGAAAAATGTCATGAACCCAATCTGTTTGGGCCTCTCTCTCAACGAGATATGTGAGAATCAAGTGAGGTCTTCAAGATGTGTTATGCTTAGGTGTAGCCATTTCAGAAAGGAAAAAAAAAAAAGAAAAAGGTTATTACTCAGTTTGGTTCACGTCAATAAAAAATGCAAGATCTTTTTTTATTTACTCATAGACATTTTTGAAAAAAAAGTTAAGTACATAGTTTGATTCTCGTTAATCAAAGATGCTACGAAGGAGTGTCTATAAAAAAATTGTACTACTACTCGGCATATGCCAAATCGTTGACATTATTTGCATTAGGAAGAATTTTACGAAAATATTTGAAAGTTATTCTTTAAATAGTGAATTACTACTGGTGAATCATATTGCATTGAGGGTGAAAGCCTCACCAAATATTACATTGAGTCCTCAATGACACCCAAACTCTGTAACGATGAGAGTTTTGTATATTGAGTACACCATTTTATGCTAGTTATAAATGTCTACCCTTTCTCCGTCATACCCATACTCCGAGATATCAATCATATCGTCCGATGAAAAATAAATTTCACATCTCACAACTTGTGCGAGATTTGTATTCCTTTCAATATTTTTTTTTCAGCTTTAGATTCATATATTGGTAGAAGACCTATTTATATAGAGCGAGTCTGCATACATTCATTCTGAGTGAGTGATCTACCATCCACGGGAATTAAAAAAAATATATTAGAGTGAATTTTAATCCATAATAATCATAAATCAAAAGACACAAGCCAGGTGTACCAAAACACAAGCTCATTACCT